GGCAATAAACAAATGAAAATTTGTGAAGTATTTATTCTTGGTGAAAGCAAACCATACAGTATAAATAGTTTGGGCAAATTTTCTTTTGCAACTTCCGGTTATTCACTGAGTACATTAACAGTTCAACCAAATTCAAATTGTCTCCTTTCTCCTGCAAAAGACTATTACATTCAATTTCCAGTTTTTTTCAGATTTTTTGCAGTAGGCTTTTTATTATTACAAACTGCAAATGTTTCCTCCTCGTCCAGTTTAAAAATTTATGGCGTCACACCAACAACTGAAACGCTATGTACAAATTTTACAGATGTTCTCAAAATTTCAGAATCAACATACTTTACATTCTACTGTAACAATGAAATAGTAGCGAAACAGGTAAGAATTTATTCGGAAGATGAATTGTACTCAATGTGTAGTTATTACGTATTACGGAAAGAAATTTACCGAAAACTGATGGTAAGTAAAAATATTTTGATGAATGAAGGAAAAAATCCTTAATTCTCTTGAATATTTTTCATTCAATTTTACACAGTTAAATTACTTCTGAAATTTGAAAATATTGTCCCAAAATCAATTTATATCTATTCTTCAAAATTCAATTCAACTATTCTACAATGTTTCAATTATTGTTTGAATGATGCAAATTGTGAAAATATGATTTATTCAATTTCTACAAAAAAGTGCAGTTTAAGTAATTTTGCAATTTTAAAAACTTTGAAAAATTATTTAACGGAAGCGTCTACAACAGAAGTTTTAATTTTATATAAAATATATTCTAACTCTTTTGAATTTTGTTAAAAATGTTCACAAAAGCATACAGTATTGAACTCTGATTTTAGACACGGATGCGACAGACTATGTCCATAAATTGGTGCTTTTACCCTAACCCTAACCTTTTCCATTAGCCCTAACCCTTAGAGGAGACCCTTTTAAGTACAAATCAGTTGCTGGTTTCTTCTGCCTAACCATTTCTCAATCCAAAATCTAGTCTTGAAATTTCTCATTTGTGGACATTTTCTGTCGACCCCTTTTTATGTCATTTGAAAAAAATGTGGCTGAGGAATTGAGCTATGGGTCCAAACATTTTAAAAAATGTTCAAATTTTTCTATTTCACCCCTCACACATTTGGTTTGGTTCAGAATTTCAAATTTTGAATTCAAATTAGTACTTTACAACTTCATATTGCTCAATTTCAAAAAAAAAATTCCAATAGTTAATTTTCTGTTTCCATTATCTCAGCTTACAAACACTAGCAGATGAAAACACTTTAGTAAATTTAGTAAATGACTTTTGTGCTTTTGTGAGCAGTTTTACACTTGTTGTTAGACATTGTTGCTATAAAGTGTGAATTGAATTTGAATTGAAAAAATTAATTATGACTATGGCAATGAATATTCAAATCTTTCTATTTTAGTAGAATTCTTTACAACTAGAGAACATGTAAAAAAAACAAAAACTCTTTTAATACTCACATTTTCAAAAATGATTTGATAACAAATATATCAATATAAACATCTAGGGCAAATAGAGGTGTCTCAACAGCTTCTGGTAGTCTAATAAGTGATATTGGAAACAAGAAAATTCAATTTATACCAACAATTAAAGTATTATTTTATTTTGTGAAAAGTGATGTCCATTACTCTGGCAAGAAATTGTAATTGAAGTTATCAAAGCCTTGATCTTTCTAATGTTTGTTCAAATTTTTTAAAAATATTCAAAAGTTCATCTCTGGTATAAACATTGTATGAAAAATATAAATATTTTTTATTTTTGAACATTATCTTAGAAGATTTCCAAATTTTATTTGTTCTTCTCCATTTAACAAGCAGCAACTAAATCCAATAATTTTTAATGATTGTTGTTCAAGCCATTTCATATTCAAATATTTCTAATTCTTCTTATTTGTTTTTTGTTTTTGTTTCAAATTATTATAATAACTCCATATATTAAATAATTTCTTGCCTACATTAAATTTCTATAGTGGGCATTTTCTCCTCTACCTTTTTTTTCCGTCCACATCAAACGAAGATTAGATCACATTTCTGACTTTTCATCAGATTTTAAGTTGTTATTTTTTTATGTCCTAAAAATATTCACCTACTGATTAGCAGGATATCCATATTCTCAAACCATTTATATTAAAATGTTTAACATTAATAAAAGCTGTTGTTTTCGAAATGTCTATTCTATGGTTAACATTTCAAATGTGGATTACAAGAGTATAATAGAATTTAATGGTGAGTCAGAAAATCCCGCCATAATGAGAAGAAGAATATTCAATTCTAAAATGAAAGAAAATTTGAATATTTGAATAATTTCGAATATCAATATAATTTGTGTACAATATCTGTCAGAAATTGTATAATACTCTGGTTAAAAGGTAAATTCCCCTAGTAAAATAAATCGTTAACCATTGAATTCAAGGTTGATTTTTAAAATTATTACAGTTGTGGATGTGAAAATTATGAAGATTTATTATACTATGTATTTTGCATGAATGCATTTCCAATCATTCTGTTTTATGCTTTCTTTTTTAAAAAACAAATGGTTTCCATCTCTCCTATGGAACATGTATAAGATAGTTTTTGTGATTATTATACAACTTTTGCTGTCTTATTATATAAAATATATACTTTTACTGAAAATTTTGTTATTTTTGTTTTGTAGTAATTATACTAACAAATATAATAGGCCTATTTTTATAAGGATGTCAGTTGACATCAAACATTTTATAATCTCTATTAGCCAGCTGGTCAGCATGACTTGATATCACATCACAAGTAAAGTAATAGTGAACACCTGGTCCAGACTCAAGCAACAGAAACAGAGCCCAAAGTAAGTGACAGAATGGTATGAGAGAAATGATAAAAGTTAAAATAAAATTTAATGAAAAATTTTGTAATTCAAAGTAAAATATTCCAAAGGCTCAGAAATAGAGTAAACAATATCTTATACAAGCATTGCAGATAATTTTGGCTTGGTATGATTGTGATATTGTAGATGTTTTGT